GAAATTGAGAGTAATCTTTAGCACAGAAGTGATTAAGTTATGACAGACAACTGTTAAATTACCATGCATTATTCCTGAAATTTTTTCACTCTCGTTCTGTGATGGCCAATATTGGTGAAACTTTTTTGTACCAGTTATTTAATTCCACATTTCTAATTGTTGCCCCAAACATTAACTTTTGCTCTTGTATATATTTAAATTCATTTTTTTTTTTCAGGTATTGAGTTTATGATGAAGACCATTGAGCTTCAAGGAAAGAAGATCAAGTTGCAGATATGGTTTGTTTGCTTGTTATGCAGTCTACTTTTAAAGCTGTGTCCACAATTCCTTACCCTATTATGAAACACTAATGGTTGAGTAATTGATTAGGGATGAATTTTAACCATCTCTGAAACTGGATTTGCATGTTAGCTGTGCAGAGGCTTTTTCCAAGCCAGCCCAACTTTGTCTATTTTACTTCAATTTCTATAAAAATGTCTTTTACATACTGCTCAACAATTGTCCATATTAGACTTTGGCGAAATAGAGGACTCTTGGTTTGAAGTTTTTAGTTTGTGATCAATTGAAAATCCCACCTCAAAAAAAGCCACTTAAAATGTAAGGAGTTTTTTTTTACAGGAAAAAAGAAACTTTTGTGCTTCTAGAATTTTTTTGTGGGATGGAGTGGGTCTAGAAATGTACAAAGGATATATCTTGATTTTTGAACATAGGTGACATGTTACTTACTAATATAGTGCATGGTTCCTTTAAATCTCTGATCACTTTGCAGGGATACAGCTGGCCAGGAGCGTTTCCACACAATTACCTCAGCATATTACAGAGGAGCAATGGTGAGGTTATTCATAGTTAGGATGTTGTTGGTCTTGGTAGTCAATACTTATCTGTGATTAATAACCTTTTCATTTCCAAGAGCAGTCAGGCAATTTATTCTTTAGTTTTAATATCTAAATAATACCCCTGGCTGATGATTTCTATATTCTCATTATCTCTTCTTTCTTTGATGATACATTGATGTTGTTGGGAGAACTTGAATTTTGATTTCCCTTCTAAAGGTTGTCCTGCAAACTGACCTGCTTTGATTGAATTTCCCTTTCATTTTGCACAATGGAACAAAAAGTCATGAAATGAGTGGTGATTTTGTTGGTGATTTATTTTTATGCAGGGCGTTATGTTGGTCTATGATATCACTCAGGAGAAAACGTTTGATAACATCCCCAAGTGGCTGAGGGATATCGAGGAGGTAATATTGACATGAAAAGTTTTCTTTTCTACTTTGGCCAAGCTTATGGCTTGTGACCCCTGTATGTAACATAGTAGGAAGGTGTTAAATAAAAGCATGTTCTGGGCATCACTTTAGTAAATAAGGTGTAATGTTAATGGCAGAAAAATCTGCAAAGGAAGGTAAACATGAAGCAATGAAAAAGGAGGGAGACTTGGGACAGGCCAAAGTTCTTGCTTCTTTCCATCACTTTATGTTTGCCTTTCTCTATTGGTACAGTCATGACATATTGACTTAGAGTTGACAACTCAAGACCAATTACTTCCTCTGACTGACTGATAAGAGAAATAAAATTTTCTTGGCAATTTCAGAATGCACCTGATGTTGAAATGATGATCCTTGGTAACAAGTGTCATATGGATGATAGAAGAGTTGTTACCAAAGAACGTGGAGAACAGGTGAATTAAGTGAACAATTGGTGCATTGTATGAGGTGCACTTTTTGATATACTGCCTCTGTTTCATATTAATGCTGTCATACCCTTTTTTATTAACTTTTGAAGAAAGCTCTTAGACAACACTCTGAAGGCCTCTATTGAAAATAAAAAACTATAATACTATTGTATTTGCATGTTCAGCCTTAACAAGGAAAACTTATTTAGTCTCCTTTGCTGGAATGACACGCTGAAATGTAAAGAGTTTTGACAAAGGTTAGAAGGTTACACTCTATGTAATCAAGGAATCTGGAGAGAATTAGTAACATCACTAAAATATTTTCAAATGTTCAAAAAAATTTTGACTTTGGAAACCAGTGTCCATTTTTTTAATCATGCTGATCAACATGGCTGCTTGCTTGTGATAACACAGTATAGCCTATCATTTTCTTTGAACATTTAAGGGCTACTCAAAAAGATGTTCCTGACTTAAACAATGATTCAATAGTGAAAATGAAAATGATATGTTCTCTGGGGCATACTTTTCTTTTTAAAGAGTATTATAGTATTTTCCAAAGGTATTTTTTGGAGAGAGTATGTCAATTAGATGTACTGCTGCAGTAGCACTTGCTGAACAACACTCTTTTTGTCATAGATTGCCAGAGAACATGGTATTCGCTTCTTCGAAATAAGCGCCGAAACCAATGTCAACATAGAACAGGCATTCTACACCCTAGCAGAAGATATTCTAAAGAAACAATTGACCAAAGACAATGAGGAAACTTCCCAAAACATCCGTGTGAACAATATACAAGAGAAAAAGTCTAGCTGCTTTTAAAGAGAGTTTTGACAGCAGCTATATTTTTGGTAGACAATTCACTTAAAATGTACAGTTAATTCTTATGGGGGATAGTCAGTCCCTGGAACAGAAGTGTATGTAGTTTCCATGTGTGAGATAAATGGAGAGGATGGACTTCCCACTTTCCTCACACAGAAAGTTTTAATTGGTGATGTAGTGTTTTACAATCCTCTTCTGATATTGGTAAAGAGATCGATCAATGGGCTACCTGTGAGAAATTGGTTAATCTGTGCATTTAGGGTGGGAAGAAAAGCAGTAGTAAACTTACCTTAAGTTCCAAAAGATCAATTCTCTCTAGAGATTGTCATACAGTCCTTTTAATGAGAATTGCATGTAAGAGGTACATTTGGTCAACATTCAAGTGGCATAATTTGTGGTTCTTCTCCATTTGTTGCAAAATAGTAGAAAATATTATAATTCATGTCAAACATTTTTTGATAAAGTAAAATAAAGTGATTTGGTCTTGAATGTTAGTCAGTCTTGAATAACTCAGATATTTTGGGTAATGTAGAAGAAAAGATTGCAGAAAGGGAAATTTAAACAACAACTCTCAATGTCAACGGCAAAACCTCCAGATGCATGAAATGTAATCAATTTGTATTGCCATCCACAAAGTAATGTGCTTGGAATAAATTTGCTTTTGTCCCAGTCCTTTTCTTACCAGGCAGAAGGGGTGGCATCTTTTAAAGGTGAGAGAGGGGTTCTTTTCAGTATAATTCAAAGCTGGATTATAAATGCATAACTTGAAATGAGTTTTGTTGCTGGAAAAGCCAAATCGTGACGTAGAGCATGGTACAAATCATGGATTAGGGGCAAAACGTGGGAAAAGTTAAGAATAGTTACAAGTTCACTATTTTTGACCTTTTGCTAACCACAATCATCCCGGCCCCCCCTTCAAGTTGTTAACTACCTCAGAATATCTTCTAACAAACAATTCTGGCAGTCGTCACTTGCCCTAACCTTTTAAAAGTCTATGGAAAAGCAGAGAAAATGGTAACAGACACACTTAGACTATTAAACTGGTACCCGCACTACCTAATTTACATGAATGTAGTTGACGTTAACCTCTGGTGCATAAATCAGAGGCTGAAGCTGCCTCAGAATTTCCAGAAAATGCGTTAGCTTACTTCCTCCTTTAGGGCAGGCAGTCGGTCTAAGGCTATAAGTACGTTACATACGCGGACATAGTGTGTACTTTGGATATGGTCCATGTCACCAAAATTTTGCGTTGACAAGGATCGCTGAGGCTCCCTGTGTTCTAGTTCTCAGGCCCTTATGAGACTTGCAGCACGGGCTTTAAACGACATGCATTTATTTTGTCGAAAACCTACAATATTTAAAACGGAAACAAATTCAGCATCTCAAACACCAGACCAATCTGACCTAGCAAGCCGAACGAAAGACAACACAATAATTTTGGAGTTTTCGATTAAAAGAGAGGAGGGGATCTATAAGAAAAGCAGGAAATTGATAAAAAGGGGAAATCAGTTACTGAAGCGTTTTTGGTCATTGATTGCATCTTTGGCTCGATTACCATAAGCTGTTCAGGAAAGTAGCCTTTGTTCCTGCCCTAGAGTGACGGAAGGGTCGTAACCAGACTCGATTTAAACCCACCTGATCGCTAATTAATACTGATTTTTTTTAAAAAATCAATCCCGTTAGTGATCCACTAGACTTTGAGTGATTTTTTATATCAGTTAGTAATACGACACGCATACTCTTTGACCTGCCTTGGCTCAGTTTGAATTTGTCTGGCAACAGAAATGAGGCAAGATTCAGACTATTGACGTATTAACATTAAGTACTGAGGTCTTCGTCTATCAACACGACGAATACTCTTCTGAAAAATTTGTTAAACTAACAAAGCGTTAATTCCATCGTTCTTATCTTAACTACTCATGGTCAAACAACTTTGATCACGAAATCCGAGTCCATTACTGATCGTTTATCTACCTTGTTACCACACCATAAATTCAGCGCTCTTCCTCTCCGCGTCAGAGAAGAACGGAAATGACAGTTCTTCAGGAGCAACCTAGAGTAAGCATGACCGATAAATTGGATCTTTCAGCGGTTTTTCCACTTCACTCATGTCCCACCTTTGGAGTGGGTATTTCAGGTATGTCACGTCTTGAACTTGGGAGGAACATGGACATCATAGCTGTCTATTATCTCAATCTGCGCACCGATTTCTTTTTGATCAAGACGAAAGATTGTTTTATCAAAATAGATCAAATTTTTTAAAATGGCATTTGTTGCCTTAGTTAGCCGATAACGTGACCATGGATACTCTTTGACTTTTGCAGTGTAATTCCCTCAGGCACTAGACAGGGAAAATCGTTGCATCACTTTGCAAACGTCAGAGCAATTCGATAATTGTTTTACTTTGTTGCGTGTCTTTTATTTCAACTTCCGGTGTTTTCGTTACACCGGAAATCCATCCTATTCGTACCCACATTTACTATCCCACAATGCATGATGCACTTATCTCCGCCATCTTACTTTTCTTTGCTCTCAAAACAACTACAAATTACAGCTTGTATCACTGCGTTTCCCAGCGGGTAATTTTGACAATAATTTATACAGGAATCTTCCTCAATTATAAAATATCAACTGCTAAGGAGGATAGCACGTCGGAGGGACGTTATTTCAAGAGAGCCCACCATTGTTGTGTCATATCGAAATTGGTTTTAAAGAGAGGGAAAACGGAAATAGGCTACAGATTTCCCTACAGAGTTTCGACAACTGAATGTCTAACGACAACTTTCAGCCAGAATTCAAGCTCTATACTGGCTGTTGATATACTGTTGTTCTAGTCAAGATGAGAGGAAATCGAGGTGAATGACAGCGACATAAAATGTCTCGGAATTCGAGCAAGAGAAACAGTTCTAATCGTGGATCAACGGGATCGGACACAGCTCGTTCAACACTGAAGGTTGTCCTTTCAAATGGCGATTCCAGATCAGTGAAATGTGGCGAAGCAACAGATGTTAAGGTTGGTTTATCCATTTCGTTGTATATCCAGTCTTTTCGTGGCGGCATTTTTGTGCTTTTTATTGTTTTGATTTTAGTATTTAATCGCACGAAAACTCTTCAGGAATTCTTGGTGGGGTTTACATAAATTCAATTGGTGCCTGGTGAGAGATTGCCGAACCGTACCCAATGATTTTCATCTTTTCTTTTTGTGTTGTTTTGTTTCTTGTTTTTTTTCTGTACGCGTTTTACCGGTACTCTCTCAGCAATGTTTTCTCTGTCTAATCTGTGAGCATAATTTTCGTGGTTGAACATTGTAACAATTTTTTTGCGACGGATATGGTTTGATATTTTAGCCGAACGTGCTCTAAATTTATTTTAGAAAAGTAACAATTTAAAGAAATAATACTAGGAAAAGATCTTTGGATTATCTGGTTCTATCCTAACAATCTTACTTTGCTCGAAACCAGTGTTTTATTTTGGACTTCAACAATGTGTTTTTTATTACGAACCATTATCATAATGAACCCGTTTTTTTCAACTGTATTGATGACGATCCGAAATACGATAAAATGTCAAGAACTAAAGATCGTGCAGCAAATATAGAGGATTCTTCTGTTGGATTTGCTTCTTAACAACACGGATTAAGTTTAACAACAGTTACTGTAATGAATACAATGTTGGAGGTTAATTCACTGTCAGTGAACAATGTTTTTGTTCCCGAGATTTAGCCGGATTGAATAATATTTTTTTTCGAATTCGTGTGCCAGGTACTTTATAATATTGTTGAAAATAAATTTCTTTAGAAAGTACTTAAGGGTCAACTTATAAGATTCCATCTCTTGATCTTGTTTTGATGTCCTTTTAAGATTGTTTTTCATTTCGTAAAAAGAAAAGTTAATTTGATCCAGATCGTAATGATTTGATTAGTATGATTGGCAATTAGTTGATCACTTTCTTTTTATCCTTTAATAAGAATCCTGGTAATTAGATTTGTTGGGTTGTGGAGCTGTCTTTATCACCTAGAATCTTTTGCTTCGATATCCTTTAAATTCCAAAATTATATTCATGCAATGCATAAATATTATTTAGATCACATCAGCTTAGCAAATACTTCACAAGTATGCATTTTGCTACTCTGTAAGAGATCTGTTTTCATTTTTCAATAATTATTCCATTTAAATTGGTTGATTAAGGTACTACCAAAGTTTGGTTAGGGCTAGTTTTGATTAGAGTATGTAGGTTATTACATGTTTTCCAATTTTGAAACTGGGTCAGATTTTCTGTAGATCTTCCTAAATATGAGATTAAAAGCAAAGAAGTATCCAAGGAGAGACATAATTTGTTCCCAATGCAAGTTTTTGGCTTTGAGTAGCCATCTGCAGTTAGTTAATGTTGAAATTAATGTTTTGTTTTGCCTTACTCACCTGTACAATGAAATATGTCAAATTGCTGTAAACTGCCTTTTGAAAATTGTTATAATTATTGTACAAGTTTGCTTAACTTGTGGAAAGCTAGAAGTTCTGATGCAAACAGAATTTACTGGCTGCAAGACTTTAAAATCTGGTTTTAATTGCTGTCACTTGAAAAGTAATTGATCACTTAAGTCATAAATGAATGAAAGTGCCAATAATTATTATTAACTAGTAACTAGTCAATAATGGAAGATTTGGAATGTTCTAAATCACATGGGATGAAATATATGATGAAAAAAGTCATGCATTTGTACCTCTAGCTCTATCTCAAGTCATGAGACAGACATTTTCTCTGTCCTGTGACCAAATGGATACCTTTGAAGCTGTCTTAGAGAATTTGATTATGTCTCCTCAGTCATTAAATATAGTAATAGTCATTTATCACTGTCAAACCTCTGTAGTTATTTATTATTTTAATATACTGTCTTATGGGTGTTCATGTCATTTAAGCAAAAACTCACTTGTAGTATTAAGCCTTTTTTAAAGGTATATTAAAAGGTACACATTTTAGGATTCAACAGCAACTGTAATTGCTACTGTGGCCTTAAAAACTTCAGACTGGTCTGTGGGGTCTCTTGACCTTACGTCAGAAAGCTGATTTGCTGCAATTAAACACCTTCGATTTAACCTTAAATCTTGTGGCCAAAAAAATGTGCACATTGCTTTTGATAGTGCTTCTACTTTTCAGTAGAAGTTGTAATCTTGGTCTAACACCAAATTATTGTATGTAATTAGCCAGAAAATGTGTAACAGCTAGAGAGGAGAGTAAATGATCAGATTTTGGGTGCCAAAGGGTTAAGGAGAAGTTCAAATGCCATTTCAGTTGCCACCTTTTAGTTTGTTTTCCCATTATGTTTTATGCAATGCATGGTCTTTTTTTCTATTGCGATAGATCTCAACTTTTCATATTTATTTAATTTTGCTATTACTATGTTAAATTACAGTTATAAATAAGGAGGAAGAGAAACAAATGGCAATGAGACCCTAAAAAATTTTTCCAAAGCTGGTTAACATAGGTTGCCCCACATGAAAAGCAGATTGAGTTATTTTAGACAACAGATGAAAGGGACAATATATTGACAAGGAAATTTGTAATTTATAATTTAGAGTGCAAGAGACAATGAGAAAGTGTTTCAGAAAAAATGTTTTGGTTTATGGCCATCTGAATTCTTTCAAAATACATGATTGCAAATGTTTGTGAAGCAGAACAAATGGAATTGCTGCAGGGTTACTTGTATCTTGCAGGATCTTGGCTTATAGCTGAGAGATTTCCAATTTTGTTTGGTAAGCATCATGCTAGTATCAGCTTTGAAAAACTTAGAGTCTCAGCCTATGGCCAAGATCAGCTTATAGCTGAATTTCATAACATACCAAATAGTTTGCATTTGTCAACATTTCAGGGAATTGTTCATTTGGTGATTGGAAGTCTTGGTGCTGATCCGATAACTGCAGGAGACTACTATGGCATTAAACTTGAACATGTCAATACAAATGAGTCCTTCTGGCTCAACAGTAAGGTCACAATTGGTGAGGTACGAGGCAAGCATGAGGCTCTTTATCCTGCAGATGAGTGGAAGTAAGTTAGTGTTCTCCTCTATTTAAGTTTAAAAAAGCAAAATAACTTTTCATGCAGTGAAATACAATTTAACAGAGCTAACAACAAAGAGAATTAAGGTTCTCTGGTAGTCAGCAGTTTTTTGCATATGTGCATACATCTGAATTCCATGTGCTCTTCGTTTGGGGCATTCTTGCATGAGCTTTGAGCATGAACTTGAGCTTTGAGCATGAACTTGCAGTGTTAAGAGGAGTGCTAGCTCATCATCCAGGCAGTTTTCCCCACCCCTTCCCTCCCTCTTCCCACTGTTTATTCAGTGTGACAGTTGCCTATTTCCACTCATGGCTGGGTCATCTCAGGATTTGCCAGCCACAGGAAAAGTCTCCATCTAGGAGCTGGCTACCAATAGGGGAAGCTCCTGGATGTTTCAGGTACCCAACCTCCACTTAGTGATGCAGTTGTTAAAAACTGGTAGAGCAAATCTCTTACCTGTGCAATTTTCAAGCACAGTACTTTAGGCAGAAATATGAGGTTCTACAGGCAGTAAATTTTATTGGTTACTACCTGAAAAGAAGGAAACTGAGTACTTATTGGTGCAAGCAAGCTGTTGGTTTACAGGACAAAATGGTGGCAGAAAATAATTGATAATAGACTGGTATCCTGTTGAGGGGTACTTAATGATGTAGTAATAATTCTATTTTACTACCACTACAGAAACTGTGGTAGTCATGAGTAGGAAGTGACATGTGCTTGTTATTTAAATTCATCTTCAGGTACCAACTAAGAGTGCGATATTTTCCTAAAGATTTGAAAGAGCTGTACACCAGAGACAAAGTTACTTTCTTTTATTTATTTGATCAGGTATGAGTACAGATTTAGTTCTATTAATTGACAGTTTTTCAGTCATCATTTTAAAGGATATGTTGTCTTTGTAATAGTTTTAAATTATAGGATAAAAGCTCTCATGATAGCAAAGGCAGTTATTCTTAGTAATGGGATTTTGAGTTAAACGACACTTTATTTCTCTGTCCTTAATTACTTTCATTATTAACAGTAAGGGATCAGCAGACTTTTGATGTTTTTAAGAAATGTATCAGAAAACAAGATCTAGATAAGCTTATCTGTACAACGACTCCAGAAATTGTGTCCGTCTAGTGCACCTCTTAGTATGTATGTATTTGCTTCAATTGAGTGTGTTTGTCTGTCATAGGATTATATATAATAGAACTTTGTACATCATCAGTTGAGTTATTCTAATTATCCCTTTTAGTTTTTATATTAGTCCTTACTAAGCAAGTATCCACTATATTAATTGACATAAAAATGAAGTTATTTGAGCTAGATAATAATATATGAGAGTAAAGTATTTGATTGGCAGTTGCACTTATTTTCTGGGTTTTTCTTTGGTTGTTATTCTATGTTTATTTACTCTTAAAGATCCACTGGCTCACTGGTTATTAACTCTTTGTAACTGCATGTATTTATTTAATTAACCTTTAGTTAATTTATTTTTCTGTAGGTCAAGAATGACTACCTCCAACACAACAGTGAAAAAGCAGATGAAGACACTGCATTTAGACTTGGAGTTCTGGAAATGAGGTAAAAAAGAAAAAAAAATCATAGCTGTTAATTTACTTCACTCTAGCTCTTTTGTAGTAGGGACTGGAAGAAACCATGTCAGCATTGGCAACAAGAATGTTGTGAAGGAACAGATTAAGAGTGACTGGCATCTAAATTCCCCATACAATATCACCTCTGAATCACACATTGTAGTCACAGGAGTAAAGGAAATGACTACCAACTAAAGAAATTTTTGATTGTTAAACAAATTCTCCCTGCCAGCACCTTAAGGAAAGTATGATAACAGTATGGAGAATAAACATACTGATGTTGGCTTAAAAATTGTTATTTTTTTTTCTGAACAGGAGGTATTTTAAGGATATGCCTCAAATAGCTCTTGACAAGAAATCAAACTTTGAGTACATTGAGTAAGTAATGTCCTTTTATCTCTTGACCAATCAAACTTCTGTTGCCTCTTCTCTTTTTGCTTTTTTTTAGTATAGGTAATAAGTTACATGATTTTGAGTACAATTTGGTGTTAATAAGCACAAAAACATTTTTCAAAGACAACAAAACTGCATGAGCCTGTAGGACTTGTGCCATTTGCAGTCTTCGAAAAAATTAACAAGTGCTTAGTTACACAAAATTGTATAAGAAATCATGTTGTTACTTGTTACTAATTTACATGAAAAAAAGCATGATAGAAAGTCAGGACAAACAAAATTTTGACAGCACATGCACTATTTTCAATTTGCAATCTGGTGTTACAACTTTGCACTGGTGTTACAATATTGCATTTGTGTTACTTGAAAAATGCACACAATTTTTTCATGTATATTACTAGAAAAAAAATCATGATGGGGAGTTTTGATCTTATCAGATTTGTTACCTCATATGTCCTCTTGAGAAGAAACTTAGTTTTGTCAGCATGTGATATTATTTTGGCGTAGTATTCACTTCTCAGATTTCTTTTTGGAAATAATGACTGAACTACAAAAGGACATATTCACAATATGAATTTTTGTCAGTGATGACGCTACACTAGTTATTGAGTTGTCTTCAAAATTGTGCTGATTCTGTTGTTCATCCATGACTCTTCAAGGGATCAGTTTTCATCAGTTTCATCTTTTTTTTTCTGTGACATTTAGGAAAGAAGTTGGCTTGACCAAATTCATACCAAAGGCTGTTTTGGAAAACATGAAGGTTGGTCTGTGTAACAAATGTGTACATGTACAAGCTGTATTTGTGTACCCTGTTGTCATGAAACTGAAGGTTAACTATTGTCAGAAAATTTTTTTCTTGGGATGCTTTTATATGTGACTGCATGTGTCTACCCATTTGCAAGGAATGCTAAGTAATACAAACTGTGGTACTCTATCTTTTGTCAGGACAGTGCTAAGTCATGCTTGTGATTGGAGTGCATAATAGGACAGTCAATGCACATGCATGTCTGATATATGCATGTATGCATACTGCTGTTATGCATTTTACCAAGAAGTTTATTGATTGAGATTATTGAAACCATCTTACTGATGACCAGTTTTTTCCTCAAATGTTGCTTTAGTATTGATTAATTGGTAACAGGACTTCGTGTCACCCAATTCTGTCCTGTGATCATTTCCGTGTTAAACAAAGAGGATGCCTTCTTCATGGTCATCCCATTTTGTTAATCACCCATACGATTACAGGCTAAATTGGACTCCAGTCAGTCCTATCTCCATAGAGTATAAATCACCATATATGATGTAACTGATATTTAGTGTTACTCATAATGTTGTTTCTTGTTTTTTTTTCAGTCCAAGCTTTTGCGGAAGACCATCCATGGTTATTTTAAGCAGTATGCACACTTGAGTGAAGTGGAATGCTGTTACACTTTTTTTGATATTCTTTCCAAACTTCATCGATTTGAATTGGAGTCTTTCAGATGCTCCTTAGGGGTGAGTGAAGCCTCTGTTTCTTCATCAGTTATTTAATGTTTTAATATCAGACAAAATGTTGTGGGAATTTGCTATGGCATAATTGATTGTGACTTGAATGAACCAGTAGCAGAGGCCAAAAATCCTTCCTCCTCCCTTATAAAAGAAGTGCTATGTATAGTTGATTTCCTGGCTTTGCAAGTGACTGTGCTCACCCCCTTAACCTATGAGTAAAGCTTCAGACATGCCTTATATAAAACAAATTTTTTAATAGCAAATCAGATTTTAAACATTTTTTCAATTTTCTTTTTCTTAAAGCAAGATTGTCTTAACTTTTACAAACTTAGCTGGTAGAACTGCTTGCAGCTGCTAATGCACTCTTTGGTAAAATGGAACAGTGCACCTCTCTATCCCACAACATTAAAAAAAGTGACAAATTTCTTGTACCCAGTGCAATTTACAATCATAAAGGGATCAATGAAATAAAGGGTACCAGTAACCTTGTACAGCAAGGACCTATTTGTTTGTTTTTGTTTTTTTTTGTATGTGTGTTTGTTTGGTTAAATTCATAAATTTCATTTATCCCTCTCATGTTGTTTTTTGGTGTTATGTTTGATTGACATCAATTTAATATCATTTTTGATAATTCATTTCCTTTAGACTGGTTGGACAATAGCAGTAGATGTGGTTATTGGGCCCAAAGATGGAATAAGTTACCGAGCTGAACGTGGATCACTTGTGAGTACCTGTGTATTTGAAACAGGAAGCTGCAATATGACTTGTTATTATTTGTTTAAATGTTTACCTTAATGAGTACTAATCTACAACCTGATAGTGTGGTTTTGGAAAAGTGCATTCACTTCTTTCAGGGAGCTCTCACTGCAATTTAAAGAATTTAGAGGTGGCCAATATTATTTTTATTGAATTAGGACAATAGATTTTTTTCGAGGTGGGCATTTCTCATGGGAATTATATGTGGTTTGTGAGTGAACAGATGTGTAGGAAAGTGAATGTATGTATAGCAAAACCAAGTGGTGTGTTTTTCAGTAAGGATTTCAGTGATGTAATTACTTCCTGTGGGTTTACTATGGAAGCATTAGACTTGTGTCTGTGTGTGAATATATGGAACTGATGTAATTCTTTTGCGGTTGAATGCCTCTAAATACCTCTCAAAAACAATTTTCATAACTTAGCCCTTTAACTCCCAAGATTTTCTTGTTAATTCTCCCCTCCAGCTGCTACTCATTACAGGAATTTGGTGTTAGATCAAGATAACAACTTCTACCTGATAAGTTTGAGTATTCTCAGTGCCTGGTTGCTAAATAATGTATAGTAGGGAGAAATTATATGTTAATCAATCTTGGAAGTTAAAGGTTTCTGATACGTTCCACCATGAAATGTCCACATTATGCATGGTTGATACGATTTTTATTTACCAATAAATCAATCAATGAATGAGCAAACAATACCTTTCAGTAGTATTACTAAATGAAGTTGCTTTCATCTGTTTCACTGCAGATTACACACATGGCTGATTTCCATCAAATAACTTCAATTTCAATAACAAGAATACCACTCATTACATCATCTGTCCAGACTGATAAACAAAAAGCTACTGTTAGTTTGAAAGTGTTAGGAGCTGCTGAGGTTTGTTAGGCTTTATAAGCTGTGTTTGTATTTTGCAAATTTTTATACAGTCATATATGTGGGTTTTCTTAATTTAAGCTGCATTTACAGTAGATTCCTTGATGGGTTTAGAAGTTAGGATGGAAAATGTATGATGGTGATTGGACATAGTAAAGTCCAATCTGGTTTTGAATACGTAATTACTGGCAAGCATTTTTTTATGGTTTTGTGGAGACAGGTTTTTGGTAGTCAAGTCCCTTTAAAGCTGACATGCTTATTTTTAACAGAGACATTTATCAGGGAAGTACTTGTTGCAAGATTATGTGCAGACAAGTTGTTCTTGTCAAGTGCCCTCAGCTAGATTTCTTGTCATTTTTAATAAATAGGGAAAAATTTTCTCAAAACTCTTATTTAATCGATTTCCAAAGTCTGTAGTTGTAAACTATACAAGTAAGGAACTGATCCACCCAGGTGAGCTGCAATTAAAGAAATTTCAAAAAAGAAGCCTGGAAGAATACAGGCTCAGATGGGATTTGAAGTTGTGCCTTCCAGCTGCTTGCTTTTTTGTGCATTACTGCATGATCTAAGATGGCACTTGTTGTGAATAAGGTAAATTAAATCATGTCGTTTGTTCCCTTAAAGGAATCTGTGAGGATCATTTAATACTTGTATAGTTTTCACAGGATAATATCATTTTTTTATTTAATTGTGAGTTATAAATATCAATTGCAAGTTGTTTGGACCCACTGTACAGTACGTAACTGTCTTTTTATCACCTTTTTGTTTGCAGCCTCTTGTGTTCACCACATTCTCATTAGCTAAGGCTGAAGAGATGGCCGACTTGATTGATGGATACTGCATGCTCTTTAGTGGAAACAAACATTCACTGGTCTTTAAGAAACTAGGTAATGGTAATATTTCATAGCCATGTATACTATGATCCAACAATTTATATTCTGTACCTCACCCAAACACCTGCATGCCATCTCCACTTGGAGTTGTCTATGCTATTGAGTGTGCAGTCTTGAAAACAAAAAATGGAGGAGAAGATCAAGTGCTAACAGTTGCTTATGTTCTTGCAGATATTGAGAGATCTCTGCCATCAATTCCAATACCAGCTTCTCCAAAAACTGAGGAAAAAAACAGGTAATCATAAGCTGAATAAAAATTTATCTTCAGAGGCTCATCATAACTTCCTTCTCTCATAATGACTGAGGAAATGAAGAGACACAGTAATGTTGAAATCAGTGCACAGGGGACAGTGAGGAGGGTGGTGGATACATGTATTTTTGAAAAAATACAATACTTAATTTTAGTCATGTAGGAGGATCCTTAAATTGTTTTGCCAATTATGGGACAATATCATCTCTCACTTGAATAAATGGTAATTTATGCATAGTACTTTTTTTTTTCAGCCCATCTATTTTCTCACCAACCCTGAAACAAAACACGCCAACTTTGGGAAATGATTTTGCTGAGAGGAAGAACTCTGTTACCTCACCTGTGCAGAGAAAAAATGGAGGTATGTTTACATTTCACTGGAATTCCTCAAATTGATTTTTTCAGTTCCATTAGCACTCTATTGGCAGGGGAAGATTTTTTTTTTTTAAACATTTACTCAAAGAATTGAATAAATGTGTTTGTAACTTCTCCTTCAATTTCATTATTGAGTGATCTGGTACAGGGAATGGACAGACTTATCAGTTAGTAGGTGTAGTCTCAGTGTAACACCAAATTCTCAAAAAAAAAATTACTAAAAAACGAATAGCACAAATTTAAGGTTAAAGGGTTAAAGAAGGGTGTACATGATCAGGAGGTGTAAAATTTCTGGTTTGCTTGTGGAAATAGACCCTGACTTCCATTCGTGTACTGTTTTCCTACAGGGTGTGCCTGCTTGTACAATCTAGTTTCCTTGCTTCCTTGTTTCATACTAAAATTGCAATAAACTTCATGTGAAAGGAAAGGAGAAGTTTTGACAAAAAATGCAACTGCCAGTTTTTCATATGCTGGGATTACTTTAATAAGACATGTAACAATATTGTCGATGTTTTCATTGTTGTAGAGTTTGATGATTATGCTGAGATTGTTGATGATGATCCTGATTACGCCCATCCTATGGCAGGTATGAATGATGTTGACAGTGTTTGGCTCTTTATAGAATTTGTTACTTTTTTTCAGTCTGTGTCTAAACTCACATAGGAAATTTGTTTGGAAAAATAATGCACAGTTATTAAATTTTAATGACTGAAAATCTAGTTACAAGGAAATTGATATTGTGCATAGGTAGTATCACCTACTACTACTACTACTAAAACTTTATTTGTCACCATTAAATTTTTTTTCTCTACCATTATGTACAATTTGTTTATTAGACAGTGATTTAAAAATTGTTGGTAGACTAAGATTTAATTTTGTGTTGAATCAAATAAAATCACTTTTAAAAAGTAAGGATTTTTAGTAAAATTTTTAACTCCCTGGATGATGAAAGAGTGAGTACTTAACTGAATGATTTGTTACACCCTAAAACCTAAAACTTTCCCTTTTGGTCTTCTATAAGAATTTATTGAACATGTAGCTTTGTAATGTATTTTTTATGTAGTACAATCTTCAGAATACTGCATGGCAAACTCAATTACTCTAACGTTTTTAAAACCTTCTAAACAGTTATTGGTTTGAAAGAAAATTGTGATTAGAATTGTCAGGGAGAGTGTAAAGTAATGCAAAATATTCACTCATAACACTGTACCCTATTATGAGCCAAATTGGTAAATTTAAAAGTCTTATTGTAAATCACAACTTCACCTTCTGTCAAGCTCTAGATTTTGTCAATTCTTAAATAAAAACAGAACAAGCAAAGTTCTTATTCTAATTGACTCTCTTTTGTAGAAGAGATTGTATAATAACTTAATGAGCTAATTCTTTGAACTAGTGAAATACTTTAAGACTAGATAACCTTTAAAAGATAATGCATCCGTGTTTGAAATGACTCTAATACACAGTACTGGCTGCTGCACGTGTAGCGGTTGCAATGTCCAGCCGAAGTTCTCTGGTTATTAATAGGAGACCAGGTAAAATAACAAAAACATAATTTATTTTTGACATAATTTTTGGTAAATGTTACAGTGTATTTTAAATTGTCTTTGATAACTGTGATGGCTGATGAATGACTGTGGAATGACTGAGTGGATTTCAGTAACAATTTTAATGCTGCCAAAAGTATTGTAAAGAGCAATTACTTTCTTTTTAATTTGTATTTTAAAGATCAATGTTGTATTTGTTTTGGATAATACATGTACCCTGGAGGTATTTTCTGTTAAAAAATTTATACCAAGACTTAAAGATTTCATATATTTTAAACTCCAAAAGAAAGAATAATCATTCCTAACTTTCTTTTTCATGATGTATCACAGTAAATGATTTGAACCTAGGACTAACATGTAATCGTGCAGTCTGATCGGCTAGTTGTGGGAAGTCCTCAGAAAGACATGTGACTCTGATGATGACACCCACTTAGGATGTCAAAATGTCAGTCACTACTACTGACCACAGTCCTTCTCAGGACAACCCTCACCTGGACAGTCAGGCTAAACTTTCTCATTAGGTATCGTCTCTAAACAGTTAACCCTTTAAACCCTGGGAGTGACCAGCATCTAATTTCTCCTTACAGTAATAGGGCAGAATCATTCATTAAGACCATGAGAATAAAGGAAATGATCGCCCCTCAAAGAAGTTTTGATTGTTACACAAATTCTCCTTGTCAGTACTAAAGTAAACGTATAGAGAAGAGAATGGAGAATATGGATACTGATGTTAGGGTGTAAAGGGTTAATTCTGGCCATGTAATTGGTCTTACTAATGGCATAGGAAAAACCCGACCCCGCACACAAGGCCTTTCTTTCTTTGATCAAGAGAGTGAAATAACATGGCTCTTACCTTTAAAAGGTTTGAGACAGTGTAGCTTCAGAGACTAAGATGGGTCAAAACATTTTCAGCATCATTGAATAAAATTATTCTTTCTAATCCCTAGCCAAAGATTATCAAATTCCCCGGACAAAGTTGATATTGGAGACGATAATAGGACAGGGTCAGTTTGGAGATGTACACAGAGGAACCTTCATCAGTCCAGTGAGTGATGCGCTCTCTAAGAACTTGACAGATAGCCGACGTTTGGATTGATTTCAGATTTACAGATTACAATTGAGTTTTCGAAAAACCAAAACCAAAACTAAAGTAATCACAACAGCAAATCGGGACAGAGGTTGAGATCATCATCAGCGAATTAGAACTCAAAGTAAAAAAAGGCAACCTGCGTGAAACGCGGGAAAACTCGGGTGTCCAAATCATGACTGGCTTTAGTTTGGTTTCTGATTGGTTGAGATGGTGGCGTGAGTTTTCTGCACCAATCACAGAGCGAAGTTTGGCAAAACCAAACAAATCATGGATTACTTTCGACACTCAATTCAAGACGGCTCAAACAGTTGACTATGGGAGGCGACATTGTGTTCTCAGCTACATGAACAAGGGTCATAGCAAATTCGTTTTTGATATAATTAACGATAATATCAAGTTGCAAAGGATAGCTTATATTTACAGAAGAAGGTATTCCTAAGATTGCAGCTCCGACTGTAAAATTTTCAGAAAAAGAAGGAGCGTGCTTGTCGGAGAGTTTCAACTTTCAAACCATTACGTTATATTTGTATTGTTTTATGGCAGTCACAAAATTTGCCAAGGTAGAAGGGTTCGTATTTTTGTGTAGATTCGACATCAAAAACCTTTTCTAGAGTTATCCTTGAAAAAAAAATAGGGAATTTTAAAACGTTCAATTGAAAAGTGCTTTACCTGTATTATCATTGTATCATGGCCACTGCTGAATTATGCCTAACGTTTTGTTTCCACTAGGATGATCCTAATTTACAAGTGGCTATTAAATCATGTAAGAATCCGGATTCAAGGGAGAAATTCCTGGAAGAGGCATGTGAGTATCAACTGTGTCAGTCTGAACAAAAGGGAAGTTCGAAAAATGTAAACAGTAACCTTCTGAAGTTGTTTTCATTAACCGATAATTGATCTTTAGTGTGGAATAAATAAGACTTGAAGCACGAGTGTTTGACTCTTTTTTCTTCTTGACAAGGTTGACAAGGGCGTAGTTAGGGGGAAGGGTCCTGGGGTGCCAATAACCTCCCCTCCCTTGTGAGCCTTTTTTTGTCACATTAAGTAAAACACAGCGTGAAGGTCAACATGACAATCTGGTGAGTAACCTGTATTTGACACTGTGTGAACACCCTGACTACTCTCCTGGTTGGTGGGAACTAAACTCGATGAATTTGGTTATTTACATTTTAAAGTTTTTGATTGTAATTTCCTTCTCAGATACAATGAAGCAGTTTGATCACCCGCACATCATAAAGCTCATTGGCGTGTGTACGGATGAAGAATTTTACATTGTAATGGAACTGGCTGCATATGGAGAGGTAACAGTGCTTCTTTCCTTCACCTATGTCATTACACCGGCATGTGATATAAACCCTAAAGAAACGTGTCCCTCGACAGTCAATCGACCGTTGACGTTCAGTCGGTCGACTTTTGTCCGACAGTGAACCCTACAGATAGCCCAGCGCACAATTGACAGGCAGTTGGTCAAAAGGCAACCAACAGTTGTCTGACAGCTGTCCTACAGTTGACTGTTACTAGGCAGTTGATAGACAGTTGATGGATTGTCAGTCGACATTCAAACGACAGTGATTCGGCAGTTGATCGGCTGTCGGTCAAGTGTTGCCCAATGGTTGCCTGACGCCTAAGCCTATTTGTTGGTTAGACAAAAGTCGTTACCATCCCTCTGCCGTTTGTTACTATAGAGGGGATAGCATCTTTGTGCTGTATGTAAAAAAAGTGGTGTCACTGAACGTCACAGGCGCGTTTCTGTCTCTGCGTGAAGTGACTACTCCTCATGAACGATATACTACTTCTATCAAAGATCAAACAATATCTTTATAGTTTCTCTCTCCTTCCCCGGGAATTCTTATGTCTATAACGTTATCGTTTACTCAACCTTCAACCCAAAGAATTTTCCTCTGACAAGATTTCCCATGATAGATTTTTGTCAACCAGAAATGTTTTAGCGCTGCATCATGTCTGTGATATTTCAATGTAGGTACTGCATTTTGTTGCTAAAAGATGTCAAGACTTGATTGGTTAAGATGTCTCTTGGACTGTTATAGTAATAGATTTGTTTTGTTTGCTTTTAGATGAGATCGTATCTTCAGAAGAGCAGACACTCCATTAACCTAGAAACACTACTTAGTTACATTTTTCAACTTAGTACGGCCATGTCATACCTTGAGAGCAAGAATTTTGTACACAGGTTAGCGTTTGCTTCATGAAATTTACTCACGCAACGGTTTCGACGTTGCTGATCGTAGCAATGCGCAGGTCGCGTCACATATGAACCGGGTACTAAAAGGGGCAAGTTTGTAAAGAAACTGTGGTGCTGCATCGGTGGGAGAGTATAACAGCGTAATTTAGTATCATCAACTGAGTTGATAACGTAAATTGGCCACCGTAAAGAGTTTAAAATCTGACGTTTCGAGCGTTAGCCCTTCGCCATTCGCTTAGACGAAGGGCTAACGCTCGAAACGTCAGCTTTGACACTCTTTACGGTGGCCAATTAAAGTTATCACAGTTGATGATACTAAAGTACCCTGTTGAATCGGGTGATAGCCGAGCTAGCCAAGTGAGTGGTGGGGCATCGGTGTTGTGCATTGGCAAATAACGTGACTTAATCAAATGCGTTGCCACTATTTTCCTGAAACCTTGGTGGCGGCTATAAACAAAGTACAATTTTAGTAATGTTATTAGGGAACGATTCTGGTAGTAAAAGAACGCTACAGAACTTTTCACTCAGTTCAGAAAATTAAGAGGTTTTGATAGTTCATGCTTCAAATTAGAAATCCTATTTTACAGTACTAGTAAGAGATGAGTGGCAGCATTGTTTTAAGTAACCGTAGGTAAGTTTTCTAAATTTTTGTTCCTTAGAATTTCTCCTTCTTATCCGATTCTTTTTTTTTTATTTTTATCAGGGACATAGCAGCTCGTAATGTCTTGGTATGTACGCCTAAATGCGTCAAACTAGCAGACTTTGGTCTGTCAAGATGGGTCGATGAACAGGCTTACTACAAAGGTAAGGATAAAATTGCAGTGAACCAAAATATACCAAATTTATCGGCTTCAAGACGAAGAAAGAGAAGGAGATCAGATTTCTTATAGCTTGCTTCTTTTTTTATCCTGGGATACGTTTGATGCGAGTGTAAGATTCACCTCACTTTACATATTCTTTGTTACAGCTTCAAAGGGTAAACTTCCAATCAAGTGGATGGCTCCAGAATCAATTAATTTCAGGAGATTTACAACCGCTAGCGACATCTGGATGTTTGGTGAGTGAATTTCATTGTCTAATGTTATAGGTGGTGGGAACGGGGAAAGCTTCGGTTTACTACAGTTGTTGTTAGTTGTTTGCGCTTGGAACAACAAACCGAAATGGAGAAAATCCTGCTAAAAGTTGGTTTCAGTGATTGACACGAGTATGTCTCGTTTCATATGAATTTTTTTGCGCGAGAAGCACGAGATAAAACACTTACTGCGAAGATCGTGAAGTTGTCAAAGTCACGCATTCAGCAAGCTCAGATGACATCTCCAAGCGGTAATGCTAGCAATGCATGCTTTGAAATAGCTAATTACGGCATGCAGCACGCGTGAGGTCATAAATCGCGAAAACTCTAACTGTGAAATTGTCTTTCAGGTGTGTGTATGTGGGAAATCCTCATGTACGGTATCAAACCCTTCCAAGGCGTTAAAAATAATGAGGTGATTGGCAAAATAGAGAATGGAGAGCGACTTCCCCTCCCCCCTAACTGCCCACCTTCTCTGTACCACATTATGTTTGAATGCTGGTCTTATGAGCCCTCTAAGAGACCGGTCTTTCAGGATCTCAAGACGCGTCTAAGGTAAGTCACTTTACACCTTATAGTGTGATTTAAAATTAATTGTTGAAAGTAATCCGCGATGGCTTTGGTTTTGCTTTACTTCGCTGTGTGATTGGTCCAGAAAACTCGCGCCACTATCCCAACCAATAAGATTTAAAACTAAAACCGATTGCCACTTGGTCGCTTGCGTTTTCCCGCGCTACAAGCAGTTAATCCATCTTTGTTACGTGTCTAGTGTAATCGTCCAAGAAGAAAGATTTCAGGCAGATGAAAAAGTCAGAAGGGAAACTCGAAGAATACAGGCGCTGTCGATGGGTGAGTGGATATGTCTCTTCTCAGTCATATTCATTATCACAAACTGCTTTCCATCTCTTGAAAGTTTTGTTGCGGTTATAGAAATAGAAAATGCCACCATGTTCAGTTTAAAATGCATACCCTTTTTCACACTCGAGCATCAGTAAGCATATTCTCCAAACTGTAATATTTACAATTCCTATGGTACTGATAAGGAGAATTTGTGTAACAGTGAAGAGCTTCTTTAAGAGGAGATCATTTCTTTATTCTCATAACCTTCATGTTTGATTACAAAGTAATAATGTAGTGAGAAATTAGGTGCTTGTCTCCCTTAGATGACGTTGGGTTTATCTTAGACTTTTGGAAAGTCTCAAAGGCGACTTTCCTTACCAATATGTCTTAATTCGCATTTCAATTTTTACCAGAAGTTAACGAGTATTGCCTGTAACTGTGCACGGGCGATTTCCATCCAATATTGTTCTTGTTACTTTTTCTTGTGTCTGTCTAACAGGAGCCATACAAGACTCTGTCGCCCCACCCAAGGTACAGATGTTTTATTCAACTTACATTGCTCAGTTCCTGAGAATCCATTTTGTGCTAAATAGTCTTATACGATATATACCTAATTTCTATAAAATTGTCAATGAAAAGTACGAAAAGAAAAAACTAAATACAGAATAATTACCGTACGTGTTTCCTTCTGAGGAACGTACCAGTTATAAAACATATGCCATAAAATTTGTGTCATGTTGATTTTAAAGTCTTAGTTTCTTGTATAATTTTACACATAGCTCAGTGTCAAATATGAACGATGTAAAGATAATGGATGGGATTAGGAGTATGTCTGAAATAATATGCAGTGGTTTTGAAATCGTTTTATTTTAATCTTAAGCCCTCTATCAGGGGTTACTGGCGGTCTTCCGCTGCCCACAAGACCTCTTACTACCGTCTGTTGAGCCCGCGAGCAGGCTCTCCTTTCGCCTTATGGTCTTTTTCTGAACACACCCGTCTATAACACTTTCGGCGACTGCTTATGGAAAAAGTTAGTGAGACCTCTGCCTCTATCTCCCTTGCTTAGTGATTATCCCTTGGAAGACTACTAGCTTTTTGTATGCGGTTTTGTTGGGTAACTTCAGATCATTCATTCTTGTGACCAAGCGTTTGTTTTAAAGAACAATAAGAAAAGACGAGAGACTACAGTGCAATTCATTCGTTTTAGAAAGGCAATAAAAAAAAGGGTGGTATTACTTGTTTCCAGTTTGCAGACACTGTTGTTGCAAAGTAGCGAGGGCAGTCGCCTTTGTGTTTGAAATACATGGCATAATGGAAGCTTTATAGCTAAAACTTTGTGACTTTGTTGGATTATGTTTAGCCCTCAAGACCTGGGATCCAGCCATCTTTTGTACAAATCCCTTCTGGTGCGGCTCAATCCTCGGCAATGTCAACATTTGACAGCAGTAGAGGAGTAACAAGTCCGAGAGGTAGGTTGGGTCCGAGTGTGTTTCAATCAGTGATTCTTTCCACCCTTCACAATTATCTTGCTGATTTGATTTCTCATCACGCCCTGCCGAGGGCGTTTCATCCTTGAATTACGAATGAAACGTTTAAAGATAGCATATCAATAAGAGGCAAAAGCTGTGGGAATTAATTTTTAAAGGAAGGGAATATTTTAAAGTAAAAGTCTCCTTTAAGATTAGTATCGATATTTGACTAAATACCTTCATTCTGTAATCCTTTAAGGGTCAACTCTGCCAGCTCAGTACCCTGGGAATCCAGGATCACCCAGATCTCCTCGTTCACCACAGTCTCCATCGTCCCCTTCCCGGACGCTCCCAAGGAACTTCAAGTCGTACCACGAGGCCAGCGGTGTCCACGCATTGCTGGAACAGCCATATCGGAATTCTATCGGTGGGAGTCAAACCTTACCGAAAAATTATAAAGCGACCAGTCCAGTAACAAGTCCTCTTGGGAGTCCAACGAAATCCAGAGATGCCGTTATTGATTTACCGGTAGGAGAAACTGAAGCTTGATTGAAGGGTTTTCGTGTAAAGTGCAAGTTTAGAGAAGAAATCTTAAAAATTTACATACTGGGAAGCTTTCATATTGAAAGTCTTCAAGAAGTCTTTACAAAAAAAATTGGTTCGTACCGTGTGGACATCTTGCGCGGAGCCAACTCAACTTGTTTGATATTCCTTTGATTCGCGCGTCATTTACTTTTGTCGCTCTCTCCAAGCTTAGTCCCTCGCGTAAGTCAAGCAGGAAAAAATTAATTGGTATCATGCGAACTCTCGCGCGGAGCCACCTTCGTTGCTACTCTATGTTCGAATTTGGTAGTACCTAGTTTTCCTTTATTCCTGTTTCACGCTTGCGCACTGTCTCTTTAGGAAGGATATCACTTGCTTATAGCCGTACACGTCTGACATTTAAGTATTTAGGACAATCTCTCATTTGTTTCGCACAGAGTGACGAGGAACTGAAACGACGAGAAGATGCTGAAAAAGCCCAAATGGAAATGAGAGAGCAGGCCATGTTTCGACAAAGGCTTCGCCAGCAACGCCTTCAATCAGAGGCAGATTCCAAATGGCTTCAACAAGAAGAGCAGAACATTGAGCTCCCCTTTTCACCGGTTCGTGTTATGGCTTTAACTCGCGCAATCACCAAGATATATCTTCTAATGAAGCAGTTTTTAGTTGTCTGTCGAGAAAAACGAACTAAATAATTCACAATAGCGAATTGTAACAAAATAAATACCATTATCAGCCAATCAGAACTTTGACACGAGGTGGCCGGGATGGCAATTCTGGTTGGAATTGTCTGATTCAAGTGTTCGATGTATACCCTTTGTCTAAACAACTAGCAGGACTACCACGCCAATTTTACTTTTAGTTATTATAGAAGATTTTCAGCGGTGGTGTTTTGTTCATGCAGCCTCGTTTTTCCCTTTAGGTACAGCAATCACCCAAGAGTCCTAACTTCCTCTCCCCTGAGGACGGAGTTTCGGCGGCGGTAGAATCATACAACCCACGTGGATCAGCGTCATTCATCGAACAGCGCCAAGCAGCCAAGGAATGTAAGTTTGGCGAAGTAACTCTCTCCTTTGCTTTACAAGGTATCATTCAGTTTAAACTTGGGACAGGAGAAGAATAATCTGAATGTCAAGTAGAATGTCTGTTGTTCCGTTTACTTTGAGGTACAAAGGGAAGATTTATACATCAGGCGACTGTTATGATGCCCTGGGGTTGAGATGAGAGGAGGGATGAGGGGGGAATATGAGTGGAGCTCCTCAGGTGTTCCGCCTAGAATAGGTTCTTCCCTTTTCAGGCTAGACTTTAGAAAAGGATAGGATTTCACATGTTGAAGTATATGAATGTTGTCATTAGGTGTTTGACAAGGTCTAGCAGCTGAGCCATTTATTAAGTAAGCTGCGGGAGTAACAGAGAAACATTAGCGCAATTCGCTCTCTTATTCACCAAGATTAAGGCTGCTTTTGCCTCTGCTTTGTCACCACAACGTGAAGCCGAGGTTAAGGAACAGGTACATCTTTTCATTCTAGAAAGGCAGGGAAAAGTAAAAGACGAAGGGGTTTTCGGTCTATAGTGGTCTTAACGTGAGTTAGTGTTTGGACCTCGCCACGGATAGTCCTCTTGCACAGCTTTTTTTTTTTAAATACCTACTTCTTCCCTCTCATATCACAGCCTTTCGTGTACACTTTATAAAAGATTTTGTCTCCTCAGATCACAGTACCCCAGTGGATCCACCGAGCCATCAGGCTGCTACAATAGCCGATACAGATATGAATGAAACAGTAAGTATTAGCCAGCAGTGCAAGAGTCTTGTTAGGGAGAGCTGACGTTTTCTTTGTTAATCTTCTACGATGAGAAAAAGTTAGAGTTTGACAATTAGTTTCCTCATCTCATATACATTCATCTATATTAACAATTTTTCAATTTACCAAAGTAAGTGAAAATCGTGAAATTTGGACTCAATCGTGGACTTGTGGAGATTACTGTAGCCTGCTTAGGTGGTTTGGGACGGAAGATTCTTTTTCCTTGGCGGCATTGCCTCCATGCTCATCACTTAGCGCACAAAATTGTAAAGCGCACATAAAACTGCTACCTATGCTGGCTAAGATTTTCACTACTGATCGTTTCGTTTTCATTTTGTTATAGACTGTATTGACGCAGAGAGAAGAAGATCCCAGAGAAGACCGCTCCACAGACACTGTGTTCATTAACACCACTCATGTGGTGCAGGCTGTTATTGGTCTAAACAATGGCTTACCATTTGCCCGGTGTGAAGATTACCCGACCTTTGTTAAGGTATAGAACACCTTGTTTTAAATTTTCACATGTTGTATACGCTCGTTGCGTTTCACGGCGAAGGGAAGACACCACACCCCCTCCTAGCGGGATGTGAGAAGGTGAAAGTGAATTAGGTCTCGCTCCAATCTTTCGAGACTTCATACGCCACTTAGGGTTATGCCGCTTGAATAAATCTAAAGAAAGGCCATACAGTGAAAGAGCCTAATCTCCCTGTCTATTGCAGCCATGGAATTATTTGTTCCTCGAGCATCTTTGTTATTGCGCGTAATTTTCATCTTGTTCCATTATTTCCGCACAATACCAAGAGCTGACATGGCCTCTCTTTCCCGCAGGCAATCGGTCTTTCGCTCAGAGATTTACTAGCACGCGTTGACGAAGAAATTCACAGATTAGATCCGTCATCCCACAAGGAAGTAAGTATGAACTTGAGAGAAAGATTTTTTCATTTTGTCACGAGCGTGGGACAAAGAAAAAATTCCAAGTCCCCATGAGGAATCGAACCTCAGACCTTTGTTCTACCATTGTGCCACAGAGACTCTACGGTGAGCGAGGTCTGTTACGAAGTTCATATGACACGCGTCCTGCATACTGCTAGGATCAGCAATGTCAATAACATGACGCTATCGTCAGGGAAAAGGGGAAATTAGCTAACGAGCACACCACGCTCGGCGAAAGGCACCAAGACTCTCGAACTTTTTTTTTCCGGCGTTCTTTACTAACTGGGTTCTCCAATTCTACTTACTTCCAGTTTTACTTCACTCTGTGTAATTCTGGTTAATCTCTTAGGCTCTCACACTTTGATTCTCACTGACTTGTGCTGCTTAGAAATCACTTCAACTACGGAATTCTGTCTCTGCAACTCTGCACACTTTCTACATTCTTCCCACTCTCTCCTAAGTAAGCTCTAAAGAACATGCCCATATAGCCAGCTGGCTGGCCTTTCACGAGATTTTCGAAATGAACAACAAAGTTCTTAATCATGAGGCTTCCGATGAATTGAATCAACCTCTGACTGCGTTATCCATAACAAGAACTTTCGAGTGAGTCCAAAACAAGGTCAGCGGCAGACAACCTAAACACGTCCACCTATAGAGGTTAGACAAGGCTGTCACAATTCGGAAGCTCGTCACGACAGCTCCAACCCAAATAACTTCGGAATTCAAATTCACACATTAGATACATTTTAAGTATAAACGAAGTATTAGACCATATTAAACTAACTAATTAACTAATTATAAACTAACTGAATACTTCATATCGCTGTTAAGAAAATCAGGATAAATGACCCTTTGGAAGAACAGTCAGCGATGTTAGTATTAGTCAGTTTGACTTTGATTAAGCGTTCCAGATTCGGTCCAGGATTTGAGCCTTTGTAGGGGTCATTGATGCGCGCTGTTGGGAACGACCGCGTCTCTTGCCATACAAAGAGTGCTTTTGAGTTGTAATTGACCAGTGAGGAGTGGAGTGGGGGAGTGTAATTGACCTGTGTGGGGTGGAGTGGGGAAGTGGTATTGACCTGTGTGGGGTGGAGTAGGGGAGGGTAGCTCGGAATGGACTAGCATCCTACATAGAGGGGACGTTCGATTTGGCTCCTTCATGTCCAGAGGACAGGATCTGATGTCAGGTCGAGTCTAACCATTTGTGCGCGTTTTAATTTTTTTTCCCTTCCTGTTCTATTTTAGGTGGAAATGGCCCACAAAGTGCTCTCCTCTGACATGGCTGAGCTGATCAACTCCATGAAAATGGCGCAGAAATACAGCACTACTACACTGGACCAGGAATACCGCAGAGGGATGTTGTCTGCTGCGCATGTGTTGGCTGTTGACGCCAAGCATCTGTTTGATGTTGTAGATGAAGCCAGGAAGCAGTCTGCAAAGTTGTCATCCAGCGCCTAATTCAACTTAGGCGTGAATTACGTTCACGAAACTTGGGCACAACGTGGATATTTTATTCGGAATATCTCGGTTCGTGTCAGAGGAACTTAATAAATCGAAGGATGAAAGAGAACGCCTTCGAAGGAGCAGATAACCTCGTCTTTTACTTAGCTACATGGAGTAAAATATACCGCGCTGCTGCTTTAAAGAAAGGATCGTTTCATGAGAAGATTTAAGGATCTTCAATTGACTCTGCGATAACATGGCAGATTGAAAAACCCTGTGAGATGCTTTTGTTGGCTTTTTTTCATGTGCTGTGAAAGAGCATGTTTGGCAAATGACTTGTGGAGTGACACGTTGATTTGAGTGTCATGCTCAACAATTTGATAATTCAGCTGTTGTGTTCGACCAATAGTTGTTGTTCTTGGTTTGTGAGCTGCCTGTGTTCATGGATATCTTCTTTCTTGGCCGCTTTGTGGACTTATGCCAGGGAAGTCGAACACCTACCTGCCTTTCAATTACCAAATTTTTATACTTTTTAGAAACGATGAAAGAAATTTGTAATGCTGCGAAGCTATGCACTTTGGCCGACTCTTTGAACTAAGGGCTATATATTTTGGACCATCGACTTGAGATTTTTTTAGACTTACTTAAAGTTTTTACTCTATTAAGGGACTTCTGAATTTCTTCTCTTCTACAGCTTTTGCCTGTAAGGGTATTTTCTTGTGGTATGAAATTTCTAAAAAAGTATCGTGTTAATCTTGAAGCTTAATTAGATTGTTTTAATTTTAATCCCGATAAAAAAAATGAATACGCAATGAATTGCATGCCGTTTGAAATGATACAAAGTTCGAAGCTATTTTTTATATGAACTTTTAAAAGGAGTTAGTTGATGTGGATAGTTAATTGCTGTACATATAAAATTAAATTGGTTTAGGTTACTTTGTGTACATTTCAGCTTTGTATCGCATGTTACGATCGCGAACTTTTAAACGCACTGCAACGAGTGATGAACACGCGCGAAAATTTCGCATATGGCGAAGTTTGGTTTTGATTGATATTTCAAAGCTAATGAGTTTGAATTCTGTAGTTTTAGTTATTACACAATTGAACAGTTTTTACGTATTTTCATTCGGCTGGTGTACTCCGCAAGAGCCACCGGATGTTGTAATGAGGCCATTTTGTTCGTTTTAGTTGACTTTACGTCTATAGTCGGTAGTATTTCTAACAGAAATAAAATGCAATGGAACTATAGTTTTGGCTCTGGAAGAGCTTGGGTGTTATTATTTGCGGGGAATGAGTGTGGGAAATCATTTGAACGTGCGTGTTATTCGCGAGTTATTTTTGAAATTTCTCCAATTCGCTCCAGCCGAAGGCGGGTACTGTTAGAGAAGTTTCAAACCATCGTGAATGATTTTTAATAATATTTGTTATCTGTATCATTTATCTTATTCTTTTTCTGTAGCAACCTTAGTTTCGAACCCAATGAAAAAAATATCTCTATGACCTCCATTGCACTCAAACTTTTCACTCATCTGTTATTGGCCAATAAGAAGCAAGAGATTTCTTGTTCGCTTAAATGAAGGTGCAGTCGCATTAGACTTCCATTCCCTTTCAACTTCCCTTGGATAACAGTTTTAAAAAGCTTCCATGGACTCGCGTATTGAACCTTTCAAGATAGGGATTATGACAATTGTTTGCAATACGGTCAGTAATGTTGGGCTCAAATTAAACCTTCGTCCCAGAAGATGGCTCTTGAGGCTCAAAATATGTTCATCTTGGACAAATTGGGACAACAGAGGATCCACAATCCTTTAATACAGTTAGAAGATGATACTGAATGAAACACACAGCAAGATTTCGCGTTGTTAGATTGACTTTAGTATGTATCCGGGGCTCCGCCATCGCACGTCCACGAGCTTTCCTTAAGGACCATAGTGCAGGGCAGAGGTAAGAGACAAGAGGGCGAAAGACCACCCCTGAAGTGAAGAGTAAATCCCGGCCTCTCCTTCGAGGGAAAGCAGGGGAAAGCTGGTTAAAAGGAGGGCTGTAGTACCTCAGAAAAAGAAACTGGAGCTAATAGGACTGACAACGCCCTTGAGCATGAATACGTTAGCAGTTGTCCAAAAGGGAGGAGACCCCTCCCCTTCCCCTCAAACCGCTTCCCCTAAGTACAGAGATCATGGAAAGTTGCCAATCACTTCCTCCTTTAATCAGTCCAAGAAGGCATCGCTTTTAACTGATACAATTTTCGGGAGGCAAATACTTGGATGCCGAGACATAGAGAACGCTCAGGAGATGACTGGAAATCTTGTATACCTTCAGTTACTTACGAAGCAGATTGATGATGGGTTAGTGATTTATTCTTTGAAAAAATCTATTTTTCTGAGTTTTCAGGTTTTTCACATTCTCTTTGCATGTCTCACTACATCGAAGTATTCTTTCATCCCGAGAGAGATTTAAAGATAATGAAATCAGTAAATTGAAAAGTGTTTCAAGGATATTGATTTGAAAGGAAGCTAGAGCATGGTAAGCGTCAGAGCCAACCTCTCTTGATCAATAAATGCTGATGGTATCAAAACTTTTATTACTAAATCACCATATTTTGCTAACACTCTCGGTGGACGCGCATTTTGCGTGTAGCGTGACGCGCAGATTTGCCTTGTCGAAAAGGACTGGACACAAGCTAAAAATAAATCAACATGGTGGCGTCTTCTTCTTATGGAGAATTTGAGGTGCTGCTGAGGTTCTCTGCTTTTTTGAGACCAAACTGACAGCGAATACGACACTTACCTTTGGTAACATGTACGCTGTCGTTTGATGTTGTTTGGTTGAAAAAAATAGACGACAGCCGAGCGGCGTCAAAACACTGAAATGGAGACCATGTCTAACATTCAGATTAACTGAAGGTAAGGAAAAGAACTGATGTTGCCTCAATTTATTTCTGCCCCGTGATGTATTATTAGGAATTTAGCATGTAATTAGATAAGATTCGCCTGATACTTCAAGTGTTCATCTATTGCCTGTTTTAGTTCCTTCTGGTCAAACTATGATCATGAATTATGAATTTTTTCTTCACCCAGGGATAGTCATCATTGTTTCTTTATGAATTTTTTTTTCATCCTTAAAACCCAATAAACTAGCTTCTTACTTCATAAATTATTATACTGTGTAAAATTATAAAATTTTCTTTTAAATCTATGAGTTTTGTCTTTTATTTATAGACTGGTACATGGTCTGTGGACTGGAAGCCTCAGTAGAGGGTCTGTTGACTAGTCTTGGTGGATAACATATGGACAAGCCTTGGTATTTAACCTCTGGAGAACCCATGGAAGGTGACCTGTGGAAAATGATTGGTAGGTAGCCTTTGAATGAGCCATGGTATGCATTCTTTGGACAAGCCCCATTGGTATGTGGTCTTTGTACAAGCCCTATTGGTATGTGGTCTTTGGACAAGCCCTGTTGCTATGTGGTCTTTGGACAAGCCATGGAAGGTAGCCTGTGGACAAGCCATGGTGTGTGGTCTTTGGACAAGCCATGGTATGTGGTCTTTAGACAAGCCATGGTAGATAGCCTGTGGACAAGCTGTAGTATTTGGTCTTTGGACAAGCTGTGGCATGCATTCTTTGGACAAACTGTGGTATATGGTGCTTGGAAAAGCTATGGAATGTGGTCTGCGGATAAGCTGTGGTACATGGCCTGTAGGCCTGCTGTGTTACTTGTATTTGGTCTGGAAACAAGCCTTGCTACACCTGCTGGATGGGATGTTAGTTCTTTGCAGGTAACCATCCTAGCAATATTATTTATTAGTATATACTAAATCAGCAGATAATGTTGAAGGTGTGCTCTATTCAGCTATTTAAACTCTGAATATCATTTGCTATACAACTCCAGGCAACTCATGCAGGATTTATGCTTGAATAGATTGTAATCGTTGCAGGAATAAATGAGTTTAAGTCATCTTTTGTACTTCATTACCTCACTGTGTTAAGTATATACTAAAAAAACTATTCACCTTAGTGGTGGCTAAATTGGAGGATATATACCTTGCCACTTCATCACTCAGTAAATATCCACCACTAGCCATGCCATTTGGGTGAATAGTTGTTAAATATCAAGTTTCCTTTAACAGACAGTTTGCTTGTGTCAGTTATACTCTGAGGTGGAGAGAGGTAGTGTGTGACTGAACTGTCTCTGTAGAGAAAGTAAAACAGTGACCCTGGTTGGGTTTTCATTTTCTTGAGCCTTAAACAGGGTAGCAGCCTCATTAGAAAGAGCCTTTTCTGGGTTGGAAATCTTAAGTGTGTTATGAGAGTAGCAGTGAACAGTCTGTGCAGCTTGTGATGATAACAACTTTTTAAACTTTTACTCTATGTGTCCTTTTTGAGTCAGTGTTCTCCCTCAGTAAGGCACAACATGTAAAAGAAATTTTCAAACCAGTACAGCAATCCTTTTACCTGTTGAAATTTCAAGGTCAAGGGATTTTAGTTGGTATTAAATGGTACTATAAGTGGTAAATTTTTCTGTTTGCTGCCTGAAAAGGAAAACATCACTGAATATCATAGGGGTGGCTCACTAAGGTTGTTCCACAACTTACATTTTTTCTTTATCCCAAAAAGGATTGCAAAAATACTAAATGAAAAAATACTGGGGTTGCCTGATGTTAATCCTTTGGACTCCAGATCAAAATGTTCAGTTTCAATCCCTGGATTGTGTGCTATGAGACTTTCACCTTTCAGAGCATTGCGGTCTGTTTGCCTCCATTTTGAAAGAGTAGTAATACTTTCAGTTAATGTCAGCTTCAAAAACTGAATTGAATCCAAGAGGAGTAGGCCTCTTGGCTTGTTTTGTTTTGCTTTGTTTTTAAGACAAAAAATGACAAGACTAATTAATGTCTTCAGTTTATGGAATGAATTTTTGTATAAAAAGTTTTTGAATTTCATTTTTCTAATAATTATATTTTTTTATTGGCACTGTAGAATACAGAAATGATCGAATCAGACCAGTCTAGGAAGAGAAACCCCGGCAATGGACTAAAGGGACAGGAGCACAAGAAGATTTAACATTTATTTTTGTGGTATTTTAGTCTCTTTTAAATATCTAATTGGCCCAGCCCAGGAGGCCTTTGAATGTGAGGTACAGCTGGCCTGGGTTTTCCTCCTAGGGGCAAGTGGACGTACAAGGAGGTTTTTCACCCAGCTGTTGTTCCACAACCTCCATTCAATACTTGTTAAATCAATAAGCCACTCTATGGCTTTTTTTTATGTAGACAATGGTTAAGTGTGTGTGCCACAATTATTCAAACAAGTGTTGCCTGGACTATTGGGTCTTTGATTTTTGGTCTAAGGTTTCCTGGGTCTTGATTTTTAGGGGTAGTTGGGTTTTTTTTGGAAGTTTAGGTTTCAGGTTTGTAGGTTTTGTAACATCTTAAGCTTTTTTGGGTCTTGGGTATTGTCTGGGTCATTGGTATTTTTGTGGTAAGGGTATTTTGAGTCAATCATTGGTTTTTGGGGATTTAAGATGTATGTTTTTTAGGTTTTTTGGATCCTTGGTTTTTGAGTCTTAGACTTTTTTGAGTCTAAAGTCTCTTTTTAGGTTTTAGGCATTTTTAGGCTATGGATTTTCTAAGTTTAGGTGTTTTGGGGTCATAGGTGTTTGGGACATAGCTATTAATGGGTTTTGGGTTTTGGATCTCAAAGTTCTTGTAACAAGGTTTTTTGGGTCTAAGGGTTTTTGAGCCAAAAGTTTTTTCTGGTCTTTTGGTTTTGGTGTCCTTGATGTTCTGGATTGAAGGTTTATTTAGGTCCTAAGTATTTTAGTGGAAGGGTAAATGGGATGCTCAGTTTTGAGTTGCAGAGTTTTTGGGTCTAATGTTTTTTTTCGAGTCAAGGGGTTTTGGGTGTTTGATTGTTTTGGGTCTAATGTTCTTGGTTCTTGAATTTCTGACTGTTAAGTAAATTGATGAATGAGAATTACAGAGGTCTTAAGGGGCAGAGTTTTCTTGACCCTAGATGTTCCTTTTCATAGTTTTCTGGGTCTGGGATTTCTGCCATTTTCTAATTCCAGGGTGGATCCAAAGCTAAAATTCTTGATTTTCACTGTGGGTCTTTATTATTCAAATTCAAATTTTCCTCATGCCTGTGTGATCCAGGTTTAGCACTTGTTTGTATAAAATAATGTCATAGAAGCCATAAAGATTGGGAAACAAGATTTCTTTGAGCAGCTTTAACCTAGATGTAGCTGGAGTCAGTGCC